TCTTTTCTTCTGCATTAGTTTTTCTTCTTGATTTTGTGATGCTGAAGCCCTGCGTGCGTTTTTCGCAGTTTCGTCGAAGTGGAAAATTGCAGAACCTTGTATTGCGACATGTGGAATGAAGATGATGTGAATAACGTGAGATTAATGGTGATGATTGCAGACAAAGATGAAAGATGATTTTTGATGGTAGTTGAAGTCGTATTTGCTTTGATGTGATGAAGAAGATGCTTTGAAGATGATAATGTGCGATTTGTTGAAGTTTGCAGTGGAATGAAGGTGTATTGATGAAGATGTTGAGGATTTGGATTGAATAAGTAGGAGTTACGGATGATAATTGAAGGTGGTGGTGAAACTCGGTTGCAGAGGGAGAAAGAGCTTGAGTTTTTTTTTTTTGGTTTTTTGGTGATGGAGAAAGAAGATAAAGAGAGGAAGAAGTTTTTGGTGAAGTTTTGGAGAATTTGCAGTGAAGAAGCAGAACTTCATAGGTGGTTATAGTGATGATGCTGAATCGATGAAGATAATAAAGGATTTGTTGAAGATTCAAGGTTAGTGGTTGATGAAGATGAAGTTGTCACGGCGGAGGATGATGATGAAGATAAAGAAGAAAGGGAGAGAGAGACAACTTTGTGTGATTCTTCTGCAGATTGTGAAGAATGAAAAAGATTGAAGATGATGAAGGATCTTGAGAAGTGAAGTGTGAAGAGAGAGTTCGTGATTTTGTGGTCTTTCTATGACTTTTTGGGTGAATCAATTCTCTCCCTCAAATCTGTTATGTTATTTCTTTTGTCATAGGTAGTTATAGGAGTTAGTTAAATATTTGTTACAGTTAGTTACAGGTGTGAGATGTTAGTTGGAATTCCGTTAGAGTTCTGTTATTTTTCCTATTTTTATCCATTGATGCTGTGCTATTTTTTCGGTTTTCAGTTGGATGCAGTTTTATGAGTTGGCAGTCGGTTTCGAAATTGAGTTTTATTTTCTGTTTTTATCTTCTGGCTATACAAATGCATGACACGTTTCCTTTTCCATTCTTTTTATTTTCCTCCTTCTGAATAAGGCAAGAAGACTGGTTGTTAGTAGGCTTTTGATAGACTGGTTTGTATGGTATAAATGTATGTATATATGTTGCCGATTGGTTTTGAACTGGTTTTTATTGTGAACAGGTTTTTGGTTGAATGCAAGTTTGGGATGTCTGAAACAGGGCAACAACAATGTTAACGTCAACACTGGTGCAAAATCTTGGGTTCGTTTAAATTTGATTTGGTGCAGCTAGACATGGGACATTTTTTATCATCCGGAGCAAGCTTTGAAGGCAACATGGTCATGTGCCATTGAAAAAAATCATGGTGAAGTGAGATATTTGAAGATTAAACATGAGTATTGATGAGGACTTAGGCTTTGGTTTTTAGAAAAATGAGAGTTTTGTAATAAAGTAGGCTTCCATGTGTTTCATGTATTTGACTTGTTGCCTTGCAAATCTTCTTTGAGAATTCCTTTGTAATTTGCCTTTAAACTTTGAATATAGCCTGAATATTACATGTAACCCACAATCTTGAATTTCAAATAACAAGTTCTTTCCCATTTATAAAAATTGAAACTTGAACTTGAATGATTTTTCCCTCCATTATGAATTTAAACTCCAAGTCTTTTTCTTTACTTATACATTTATTGGATACATAATATACAATGCTTGTTCTTCAATGGTATCTTGAATGACCCATGATCTCTTGCTTAACCTTAAGTTCAAAATCTTCTTTTTGTACCTCAAATGTAAACCAAATTCTAAGCAAAGCGAATTGATGAATCACTTGTATTATGAGTACATGAAAACTAGAGAGAGTAAATTATCCACAAGTCTTTTATCTCAGGAAAACCAAATCACCAGATGAAATATAGTGCACAAAACCCTTATTTGTCAAATGTAACATCTCTTGCATATATCTTGTTCTTCAAGCGATAATGGAGTTGTCTTAAGAGAAGAATGAGCTTTTGACGATGCATAACCAAGCCTCTGGCATTCATCAGATAATCCTTGCATAAGGCACAAAACCCTAATCCACTTGCTTTTGAGGTAAATTGATGGGGGGAAAGAAATCCACAATAATCCTGAACCAAAACCCTAATTCCATAACTTCACCACTTGAACAAGAACTAGAAGAATCAGCCACTGTGAAAACCCTAGCTTGTACGCCCACCAAACTTCTGAACCTCGGGCGCTTTATTCAATGCAAATGCATGTTATGTTAGTACAAATGACCTAATGAAAAGATGTGAATGCAAAAGTCTAAGTCAGATAGCGGGACAATTAGGAGGGAAAATTTTGGGGTGCAACAAAACCTTCTTGCCCGGAGGCAAGGTGGGCCGTCCGAGAGGCTTAGAGTATGCATCGACTTAGTACGGTCAAACTTTTTTTCCCATAGGCAAGGTGGACCGTGCGAGAGGCTTGGAGTACACATTGACTTAATCTGGTCAAACCTTTTTGCCCGAAGGCGAGGTGGACTGTGCGAGAGGCTTAGAATATGCATCGACTTAGTCCGGTCAAACTTTCTTGCCCGGAGGCGAGATGGACCGTGTGAGAGGCTTAGACTATGCATCGACTTAGTCCAATCAAACCTTCTTACCCGGAGGTGAGATGGATCGTGCGAGAGGCTTAGAGTACGCGTCGACTTAGTCCAGTCAAACTTTCTTGCCCAGAGGCGAGGTGGACCATGCGAGAGGCTTAGAGTGCGCGTTGACTTAGTCCGGTCAAACCTTTTTGCCCTGAAGTGAGGTGGACCATACAAGAGGCTTAGAGTACGCGTCGACTTAGTCCGGTCAAACCTTCTTGCCCCAAAGCAAGGTGGACCGTGCAAGAGGCTTAGAGCACGCGTCGACTTAGTCCGGTCAAACCTTATTGCCCGGAGGCGAGGTGGACCGTGCGAGAGGCTTAGAGTACGCGTCGACTTAGTCCGATCAAACCTTCTTGCCCAGAGGCTAGCTGGACTGTGCGAGAGGCTTAGAGTATGCATCGACATAGTCCGGTCAAACTTTCTTGCCCAGAGGCGAGGTGGACCGTGCGAGAGGCCTAGAGTACGCGTCGACTTAGTCCGGTCAAACCTTCTTGCCCAGAGGCGAGGTGGACCGTGCGAGAAGCTTAGAGTACTCATCGACTTAGTCCAGTCAAACCTTCTTGCCCGAAGGCGAGGTGGACCGTGCGAGAGGCTTAGAGTACGCATTGACTTAGTCCGATCAAACCTTCTTACCTGAAGGCGAGGTGGACCGTGCGAGAGGTTTAGAGTACGCATCGACTTAGTCCGGTCAAACCTTCTTGCCCGGAGGTGAGATGGACCGTGTGAGAGGCTTAGAGTACGCATTGACTTAGTTCGGTCAAACCTTATTTCCCAGAGGTGAGATGGACCATGCGAGGGGCTTAGATTACGCATCGACTTAATCTGGTTATAGTCCCTTTGTTCGAAGGCGAGGTTAACCGTCTTCTTACTATTTACAATGGTGTTACATTTTGTTTTGAATTTCACCTAGTTTTGAGACCTAATAAGAGTAGGGTGCCTCCCGCCCACGCAGGGGAGAAGGACGACACTAATTGCTTTAATGTAATTCTAACGAGTTCTTTACATAATTACAAAAACGGTAGAAACTGTATCTCGCCTTTCAATAAGTGAAATCATAACTAGACATTTGTCCTCGTTCTAGACCCTGGCTTTTGTTGTCACCTTACTTATGTCATCTTGATTTCTTCTTAGCATAATATGTGTCAGGTTCTCCTCGAGAGCTTACTTTCTTCAATATAGGATTTTCCTACGTTCTGAACTTCTTCTATCTTATTTATAAGTTAAGAAAACAAACGTGTGGTGACTCCCGCCCACGCAGGGGAAAAGGACGACACCTTTTACTAAATGAGTCTAAATAGATTATTTACAAAGCAACAAAGACCATTATTCGTTCTTATACAATAATAAAGATAATTTTAAAGCACAAATTTGTGTATTGTCTCGTCTCCTAGTTTTGTTGGCACACTAACTGTATTTCACTAGTGAACCTTATAAATAACCGGGATGTCTATACTTGATCGGGATGTCTATATAAGCGTAAGGCTTTGTTGAAACAAGTTGAAACGCTTTAATCCGGAGTCATTCCGACTAGGGAGGACTTTTGCTTTTTAGTGCTTGTTGGAGATCTTGCTTGATAAATTCATTCTCAACTGGTATATATTCCATAATAGCTTCGACCACTCATCTCGTTCGCAAATTTAACTTGTCATTTCATGAAAAATATTAAACCAATGCATGAGACTAGTTATAAATATGTGTAGTACTTTGTCAACCAAATAGACTGCTCTAAAGAGTAATATTCACCGATCAGCAAGAAGAAAGTATTTCAAAAGAAACATCATGCATTCTACACCTTACTACACCAAATATTATCGACATCCAAAACGCATATGATTATAGCATCATCATAATCTCATAGTAACGCATGCTTTATTCATTAAACGTTAGTGGTGGCTCATAATACCATGATAATGCATCATAATTTCATAGTAACGCATGCCTTATATTTTTTTGACATATTATACTTAAATATATCATACAGAGGGATTAATCAAAGCCATAGAAAGATCTATAATATAAATAAAAACTGCATGCATAACCAAGAGGGTTCTAAACCTCGATATTAAGTATAAGAGGTATAATCACAACAACTTCATCGGACGAAAAAACATACAACACATGACTAAAGAAATTGGGAAAGCTTGAGAAATTATTTGATACCATGGATATAGAGTGAAAAATCGGTATATAGTTACTTCACAAATCCAAGACTTCTATATTTATTTTTATTTTGCCCTTGTGGTTACCGGCATTGAGATTATGCACCGCACAAAAGAGAGGTAATCTTGGTTCAAGTCAAATTGGTACATGTATGAAAACTTTAACAATAGAAGTGTTGGATTTTTCATATACCACAAACTTCCATGTAGGTGCGGGTGCTAATCGATTTTATCTTCATCTGTCAAACAAATAGCATAATTTTAGACTATAGTAAGCCAATTACAACCATCCTTGGGCATAACTTTGTTACTTTTTACCGACTATGTTAGCAATTGTATAAAAAGAACTCAAGCTTATATACTCTTAGAAACAGTGCATTTATACGGTTTTATTTGATATCGGTTAAGAGCTCTAAGCTTCTATATAGTTCATGCTTTTCATCAAGAATTAATAAACTATAACGGAACCACTATCCAGATTTCGATTTAGTTGTGTTTTTCCAAAATAAACATTCACGCTAATTAGAGCAAAATGAAGATCCATACGCGTTAAACATTCAATAACGAAGAATCAAACAGAAATTGAAGAAGTACGCACCGTTTCAGATTAAAGCTTTCTTTCGCCGTTCCGCACCGTTTCCTCACTGTTGCAGAAGTACGGTGTTCCAAGAATAAACAAGAGGAATCGTCGCTGCATCTATCGCTCTTCTCGACAGAGATCTCCTGATCGGACGGCGTATCTGCTGCATCAGGCTTACAACTCTGTGAGCTCTGCCTTTATGATATTAAAAACAAATGATTTGGTCGATATCGAGAGAACTTCTTGGATCGGGAATAGGTGCCTTTATCGATGTCCTGCAATCTGAGTGTGTTATTAGTGTTGAATAAACATCAAATGTGTTAGTAATAAGTTTTACATTAAATATAATAGTAGGAAGGATAAAAGTTTAGTGAGTTATTAAGTTATTAGTAGCAGTTATGTTTTAGTTTATGTTTTAGAATTGTAAAAGTTATTTGGGTTTATAAAAGACCAAGTGTGTAATTTATTTGATAAGAGCAATAGAAAGAGCAATATAGAAGTATTCATACAGAAGTCTGATTCGATTCTAACAATTTGGCATCAGAGCTCATGGCAAACATGATGAATCAAATGTCGTTGTCACGGCTAACGAAGTCTAATTATGAAAACTGGAGTATCCAAATGAAAGCTTTTCTTGGATCTCTAGACGCGTGGGAAGTGACCAATGATGGGTTTGAAGAACCAACAGAAGTTGGGGGATATTCGGCAGCTCAAACGAAAGCGTTGAAAGAGACGCGATCGAAGGACAAAACAACATTATACATGTTGTTCAGGGCTGTAGATGAATCAGGCTTCGAGAAAATTGTTGGTTCGACTACGTCGAAACAAGCGTGGGACACGTTAGAAAAAGTGTTCAAAGGAGCAGATCGAGTGAAGCAAGTTCGACTCCAAACTCTTCGTGGCGAATTGGAGAGGATACAGATGAAGGATACATAAATTGTATCTGACTACATCACACGTGTGCAAAAGGTGGTGAATCAACTCACCAGAAATGGAGAGACAGTACCTGATGCACGAGTTGTTGAAAAGATCTTGAGATCTTTAACAGACAAGTTTGAAAATATTGTATGTGCAATAGAAGAGTCGAAGGACCTTTCGACGCTCTCAATCGAAGAGCTTGCTGGTTCTCTCGAAGCACATGAACAACGAAAGATGAAAAAGAAAGAAGAAGCAGACGAAGAAGCAAACCAAACCAAGGAATCAAACAAAGACGAAAAGGTACTCTTTTCTCATAACTTTCGAGGAAGAGGACGTGGACGTGGAGGTCGTGACAGTGGTCGAAGTGGTAGAGGTAGCAACTTCGAAAGAGGACAATCGAGCCAACAAAATTGGCGTGGCAGAGGACGTGGTCAAAGAGGTGGTCGTTCGAATTATTCCAACTTCGAATGCTACAAGTGTGGGAAGTATGGTCATTATGCGAAGGATTGTAACTCCTACAAATGTTACAACTGTGACAAAGTGGGACATCTTGCAAAAGATTGTCGAAACGAAAAGAAGATTGAAGAAACAACCAACCTAGCCTTTGAAGCTGAATCGAATGAAGGCTTTCTCCTGATGGCTCAAAACGAAATCAACACCAATGACAGTGTTTGGTATCTTGACTCAGGAGCAAGTAATCACATGTGTGGTTACAAACACCTGTTTAAAGATATGAAGAGAATTGAAGATGGTAATGTGTCTTTTGGAGATGCATCGAAAGTGAAGGTCGAAGGAAAGGGCACAATCAGTTACTTGCAGAAGGATGGCTTGATTGGATCAATCGAAGATGTTTACTATGTACCAGATCTCAAGACCAACATATTAAGTCTGGGACAACTTACAGAAAAAGGTGCTTCGATACTGATGAAAGATCGAACACTGCATTTGAAGGACAAAGCATGATATCTGATTGCCGCTGTCGAAATGGAAAGAAATCGAATGTACAAACTGAACCTGAGGAACATTCGAGAGAAATGTCTGCAAATCGAAGTGCACGACAAAGCGTCACTATGACATATGCGCTTTGGTCATTTACATCATGCTGGTTTGAGAAGGTTGGCGAAAAGGAACATGGTGCATGGACTACCAGACATGGATTTCGAAGGAAAATTCTGTGAAGAATGTGTGCTCAGCAAACAAACAAGAACCTCATTTCAAAGGAAGGCAGAGTATCAAGCTAAACATATTCTCGAATTGATACATACTGACATATGTGGGCCAATTACTCCAGAATCCTTCAGTGGAAAAAGGTACTTCATTTCTTTTATTGATGACTTCTCAAGAAAAACCTGGGTTTACTTCCTGAAAGAAAAGTCTGAAGCATTAGAAGTGTTCAAAAAGTTCAAAGTAATGGTAGAGAAGGCAACAGACAGACACATCAAAGCAATTCGATCTGACAGAGGAGGTGAGTATACTTCAATGGCCTTTGTGAAGTACTGTGAAGAACAGGGCATAAGGAGATTCCTAACTACACCATATTCACCTCAGCAAAATGGTGTGGCTGAAAGGAAGAATCGAACTATTTTTGACATGGTTCGATCAATGCTCAAAAGCAAGAACATGTCGAAAGAATTCTGGGCAGAAGCAGTACAATGTGCTGTTTATATTCAGAATAGATGTCCACATTCGAAGTTAGAAGACAAAACACCACAAGAAGCATGGAGTGGATAGAAGCCAACAATTTCTCATCTCAAGGTATTTGGTAGTATAGCTTATGCACATGTACCAGATCAACGAAGAACAAAGCTTGAAGACAAAAGTCAGAAGTACATATTCATTGGATATGATGAAAAGACGAAAGGGTACAAGCTCTTCAATCCCATAAGCAAGAAAGTGATCGTGAGCAGAGACGTTCGAATGAACGAAGCAAGCAAGTGGGACTGGAAAAATTCGACAGAGGTTGTTGACACAGTCGAAGAAACAACTGTAGCTGTACCAACTAGTATTCCAACAGAACATGAAGAAACTGAAGATGAAGATGAACCTCTACAACCAAAAATGAGAAGTTTGCAAGATTTGTATGATTCAACAAGTGAGGTGCATCTTGTGTGTCTTCTGGCAGATGCTGAAAATATCAGTGTCGAAGAAGCATTACGAGATAAGAAGTGGAAAAGTGCCATGGACGAAGAAATTAGAGCAATCGAACGCAACAATACCTGGGAGCTAGTCGAATTACCAAAAGGAAGTCAACCCATTGGTGTAAAGTGGGTATTCAAGAAAAAGATGAATGCTCAAGGAGAAATCGAAAGATTCAAAGCACGGCTGGTTGCGAAGGGATACAAACAGAAAACAGGAATTGACTATGACGAAGTGTTTGCGCCTGTTGCAAGAATGGAGACAATTCGATTACTCATTTCTCAAGCTGCTCAGTTCAAATGGCCAATATTTCAAATGGATGTCAATACAGCATTTTTGAATGGTATGCTCGAAGAAGAAATCTATGTCGAACAACCACTTTGATATATGAGAATTGGAGAAGAGAAGAAGGTGTTGAAACTGAAGAAAGCGGTGTATGGGCTGAAGCAAGCACCTAGGGCATGGAACACACGTATTGACACATATTTCAAAGAGAATGGGTTCGAGCAATGTCCTTATGAACCCGCCCTCTATGTGAAGAAAAATGGAAGTAATTTATTACTTGTTGCTCTCTATGTTGATGATCTTATCTTTCTAGGCAGTGATGTTCAGATGATCGAAGATTTCAAGAGCACCATGACAAGCGAATTCGAAATGACAGACTTAGGTCTGATGAGATTCTTTCTTGGTCTGGAGGTTCGACAAGAAGAAGCTGGAATTTTCATCTCACAAGAAAAATATGCAAAGGAAATCTTAGAAAAATATAAAATGAAGAATTGCAATCCAACTTCGACGCCAATGGAACCAGGTACAAAACTGTCAAAGTTTGATGGAGGAGAACAGGTTGAAGGAAGCAAATATCGAAACTTGGTAGGTAGCCTTCGATATCTCACATGCACAAGGCCAGACATTTCACTAAGTGTTGGCATAGTGAGTCGATTCATGGAGGAACCAGTACACACACATTGGAAGGCGCTGAAACGAATTCTAAGATACATCCAAGGAACAGTATCACTAGGGATGTTTTATTCAAAAATAGAAGACTACAAGTTAGTTGGTTATTCTGACAGTGACTGGTGTGGAGACATAGACGATTGAAAGAGCACCTCTGGATATGTGTTTTTCATGGGAAACACAACATTTACTTGGCTGTCGAAGAAGCAACCTATAGTAACACTTTCGACGTGTGAAGCTGAATATGTGGCAGCATCCTGGTGTGTTTGTCATGCAGTATGGCTCAGAAGGTTGATAAGCAAGATGGAGCTGAAATAGGAAGATCCAACAATAATACAAGTGGACAATAAATCAGCTATCGAATTGGCAAAGAATCCAGTGAATCATGAACGAAGCAAACATATTGATGTTCGATTTCACTTCATTCGTGAACATGTGAAGGAGGGAAGTGTCGAATTAAGGCATGTAGCAAGCAGAAACCAAGTAGCGGATATTTTTACAAAACCACTATCAAAAGAGGTCTTCGACAGAGGCAAGAAGATGATAGGAATGCTGGATGGAAGAAACATTTAAGTTTACAGAGGAGTTTTGTTGAATAAACATTAAATGTGTTAGTAATAAGTTTTACATTAAATATGGTAGTAGGAAGGACAAAAGTTTAGTGAGTTATTAAGTTATTAGTAGCAGTTATGTTTTAGTTTATGTTTTAGAATTGTAAAAGTTATTTGGGTCTATAAAAGACCAAGTGTGTAATTTATTTGATAAGAGCAATAGAAAGAGCAATATAGAAGTATTTGTACAGAAGTATGATTCGATTCTAACAATTAGAAATAGTACACCTACCATGACAATAGTAGTAAGGAACCACTTTTCCATGGTCAAGGATTAGTAGATCGAATTGTGATGAAGGCCAAGTGCCTGGATCTTGAGGTCGGGAACAATATTATTGTGGTAAGACCATGGTTTCAACGCGAATCACATAGGGAGAAGTGATTGTTTAATTATGATTGGTGTGTGCTGAGAAAATTTTACCAGTTTCTACGGTGGGTGTTAAATGTTTTTGCATAAGAACACTAAAGCTTTCCTATAGAAATAGGGAGAGCTTTAAAGGTAGATTTCTATAGATATGATTGGGGATTTGAGAGACACGCTTGCAATATCTATTGTCTCAAGAATCAGTGTTTTGCTTACCCCTCTGTTGGAATCCCCTATATGTGTTTGTCTCAAGTGTAAGAACCAATCCCCCTTTCCATTCTCCAAGGACTCATTTTATAGGCAGGTCTTTAGTCTAATGGTCATTAATACGCTTATAACGTCTATAATTGTCTATAAGTACTGTAACGTTCGTAATCGTTCATAATGGCTTGTAACGTTTGTAGCTGCTATCTATTGAGTTTCGTAACTGTAACCAACTCGGCTTGGCACAACCCGGTCAGGCACAATTTAGGCCAAACACAACCCATCCAGGCACAACCCGACCAGGCACAGCTAGGCCATAATTAGTTAACATCTATTACCTTAGCATTGATCGACATATCTGGCTACAATACTCGACTCGGAGAATTATGGGATGTAGAACAACAACCACTGAGAAGGAGTTGCTAGCAGTTATGTTTGCCTTTGATAAGTTCAAATCTTACTTGGTTAGGACAAAGGTGATTGTCTATACATATCATGCTACCATCAACTATCTAATTGCTAAAATGGATGTTAAGTCGAGGCTTATTAGATGGGTACTCTTGTTGCAAGAGTTTGATCTGAAGATTAGAGACAAGAAGGGAGTTGAAAATCTGGTAGCTGACCATTTGTCAAGATTGTCAGAGGAGGTGCAAGATAAGAGTAATAAGGAAATTCAGGAGGCATTTCCTGATGAAAAACTGCTAATGATAATTGCAGGTGTGACTCCATAGTACGCTGACATAATTAACTACTTGGTCAGTAGGTGTGTCCCATTTGAATTCAACTCTCAGAAAAGGAAGAGGTTCTTTCACATGACCATAAGCTATTTTTTATTAACTTTTTATTTACAAGAAATGTGATGATCAGTTGCTAAGAAGATGTGTGGATCATCCAAAGGCACGACAAATCTTATATGTCTATCATGAAGCCCCTTATGAAGGACATTTTGGAGGAACCAGAACTGCAGTTAAAGTTCTACAATCAGGTTATTTCTAGCCCTCTCTTTTTAAAGATGCAAATGAGCTGGTAAGAAGATGTGATAGATGCCAAAGAGTGGGAAATATCTCCATGAGGCAAGAGATGCCTCTTACCAACATCTTGGAAATTAAAAATTTTGATGTATGGGGCATTGATTTCATGGGGCCATTTCCTCAATATTTTGGCAACCTATACATATTGATAGCTGTGGATTATGTTTTTAAATGGATAGAGACAGTAGCAACTCCCAATAATGATGTTAGGGTAGTGATCACATTTTTTGTGAAAAATATTTTGTCTACGCATGACACCCCTAGAGTGATCATTAGTGATGGAGAAATCCATTTTTGAAACAAAATCTTTGAAAATTTGATGGCACAGTATGGAGTGAAACACAAAGTTGCCACTCCATATCATCCACAATGTAGTGGGCAAGCTGAAATTTCAAACAGGGAAATAAAAAGGATTTTAGAGAAAGTTGTTAACCCTTCTAGAAAGGATTGATCTAGGAATTTGGATGATGCCTTATGGGCATATAGAACAACCTTTAAGACTCCCTTAGACATGTCTCCATACAGACTTGTCTATGGGAAGGCATGTCACTTGCCTATTGAGTTAGAGCATAAAACTTTTTGGGCAATCAAAAACCTGAACTTTGATTTATTCAAGGCTGACCAAGCTAGAATGCTTCAACTCAATGAGATAGAGGAGCATAAGATATTCTCTTATGAAAGTGCTTAATTGTATAGGAAAAGACTAAGAATTGGCACGACAAGAAGTGTCTGCTGAGGGAATTAGTTGAAGGACAACTTGTTCTCTTGTTCAATTATAGATTGAAACTTTTCCCTGTAAAGTTAAAATCTAGATGGTCTGGGCCATTTAAACTCCTTAAGATTTATTCTTATGGGGCAGTGGATCTTTTGAATGAGAAAATAGGAGAAGACTTTAAAGTAAATGGTCATAGAGTGAAGATGTACTATAATGAGTCATCAAACAACACCAGGACCACCATGTTTTTAAATAATTCTATCTGAATTTTTCTATAGTCAGACTAAAAAACTATAAAATAGCGCTACTGGGAGGCAGCCCCATTTAATTTTTTTGTTTTTAGTTAGTTTTGGTTTTCAGGTATCATGATTGTTAAGATAAGTATAAATAGAGAAGAGTCATTGACAAGTTATGTCGTAACTGAGAAAGCCGAGTCTATCTTGCACAAGAATAGTTGTAAATTATTATGTCTTGTCAAGAGAAGTATGTTGAGAGAGGCAAGTGTTGGGACACGTGATCAAAAGTGAAAAGGAAAAAGAGCGAGTAATTTAAACGCACATAGCAGTCTGTTATGCAGTAGAGTGACGTCACACAACAAGACAAGCATTTATTGCTCATGGTACACTTTCATGACTATTAGCGGCTAGGGCGAACCCTCACCATATCCTATGTTGTCTAAACAGTCTATTATGTCATTTTTAAATTTTATTTTGTCAAGAAGTGTATGTTACCTCTCTCTCTATATATCTCTCTATCTCCACTCTCAACCCCTCAACTCCATAATTGCCTCTCACTAAGAAAAACCTCCAACTACCTCTTCACTTATTCAAAACCATCCCACCACACTCTATAAACTCCATTTATCTTGATCAAACATATCACCTCAAACCCTTCTCTCATTCCCATTAAAAAAAAACCTAAAACTTCTCAAAACCATAACAATGAAATCCACTTACTCACAGAAATGAATTAAGATATGTGTCATGAAAAACGATACTCTATCCATGGGCATTTTCGACGACGACGGAAGTGACTGTGAGATCTTTATCAGCGAAAATGCAAGAAGGAGATTCACTAATTGTATCTCCAATCGAGGGATATTTTCTGAAAGGGTTTCGCCCTCGACCTGAAGGATGAAAATTTAGGGTTACCTGCAAGCATTGGGTCATTGATTAACAACAAGAAGTGGAGCAAGTTGTGTAAACACCCTGAACCGTACAACACTTAAATCATGAAAGAGTTCTACTCTAACCTAAGACCTGCCAACAAGAAGTATGTGGTCATGATGAGAGGCTTTGAAGTCTCTTATTCAGAAGGAACAATTAACATGATATATGGACTGAAGAAAGTGGAGGATGAATATCAGAACATTTTGTCGAGGGCTGGCGAGTCGGAGTATGAGGCTTACATGTAATCACTATGCAACCCAAACACCACATGAGTAGAGTCTAGAGGAGAGAAATCAGTAAGGGGAATGGATCTGAAACCAGAATCCAAGGCGTGGTACCAGTTCATCAAGCACTCCATCAAGCCTACTACTCACAATGAGACTGTCAACAAGCAAAGGTTGGCTCTTCTCCATTGTATCACCTCTGGAAATGATGTCAATGTTGAAAGAATAATTGTGTAAGAAATACAAATGTGTGCCAAGAAGAAGGATGGGATATTGTATTTCCCATGTTTAATCACAACTCTATGTTCTAATCAAGGAGTGAAGGGAAAAACAACTGATGAAGTATGCAACCTAAAAGTTGGTTTTGATAGAAACATTCTACAAATGTTTGTGAAGCCAAAGTCAAGAAAGAGAGAGAAGGCATGACAAAAGTCGTCTAGAGGAGACTTCAGTTTTGAAATTGACAGTTTAACATGGGAAGGGATATTGTAAATGCAGAAGAATCAAAGAGACTATTATAGGTTTCAGAAGGCAAGATATGAGTTGGAGTTTAAGGTGTACAGAATAATGGATAGTGATGTGTTGGCCCCTCTGTTCCCTGACCATATATTGGGCATAAATGAAGAAGAAGAAGAAGAAGAAGAAGAAGAGGACTTGGTAAATGATGAAGATGAAGAGAAGAAAATTAAGAGAAAGGGTAAGAAGGTGATGAAGTATAAGTTCGTGGTTGTAAGATATCCCGTCACGTCCACTCAAGGCCTGCCTATAGACAACTAACCTAAGAAGAAAAAGAAGAAGGCCAAGGAAGAAGCACCGGCCAAGAAGGTGGTGCAAAAGAAAAAGGTTGTGGAAGAAGTGCCAATGGTGGAGGGAAAATCAGAATCTAATGATGAGGAGACTTTGAATAGTATGATCAATCAAGCGGCCAAGGAAAAGAAGGAGTTTCGAGCAAAAGTGCCTAAAAAGGAAAAATCTAAGAAGGTTGAAATGAAGAGTGCAAAGGAAGTTGTGAAGGAGTTAGGGGAGGAACCAGTTGAAAAAGTTGATGAAGAAAAAGTGGAGGTTATAGCTGAGAAGGAGGAAGATGACAAGGAAAATGAAGATGTTGTAATGAAGGACACGGTTGGCATGACTGAGGAAAACTCGAGCGAACATAAGGAGAAAGAACATAATGAAAATGAAACAGAGGCTGTTGGGGATAAATCATGTGAAGGTCCTAAAAAGAATGATGATGAAGTACGGGAGGGGGAAGAAGGAGAAACCATAGATAGTTCAAAAGAATTGGAAAAAAATGAGGAGACTCTGGGAGAGTCGGGTGATGATGTGACTCATGTAGTCACCCTCAAGAAGGTTAGGGGGCCTGCAAAGACCAGCACCCGAAGTTGAGCTAGCAAAGATGCCAAAGGACCAACCCCAGCCAAGACTCCAACAACAGCAAAATCACCTCCAAGGAAGTCCCCAATCAAGATTACAGCTGTGAAACCCAATCTTCCAAAGCCTGCCCAGAAGAAGGCTAGGAAGAAAGCTAAGCAAGATCCCACTCTCAAGAAGCCCTCAA